TCTCTCTCTCTCTCTCTCTCTCTCTCTCTCTCTCTCTCTCTCTCTCTGTGTGTGTGTGTGTGTGTGTGTGTGTGTGTGTGTGTGTGTGTGTAAATATAAAGCTCCTTAGTGGAAAACATTTTTTTCAGTTCTTGCTATAGTTTGGCCAATACATAAGGTATTAAAAGGTAAAAGACAAAACAAGATCACTTCACTAAGGAATTTATCACTGAATAAAGTAGTGATATCCAGCACATGTGAAAATCTAACTCTAAGAAGAAGCTGGTTATTAATCTATAGGAGAGAATCATTCACTAGGAAAGCAGGGCAGCAGGAGAAACGACTGTTGAATATACATTGCTGACAAGATTTTATGTGAGAGAAATTCTACATGGACTTTTAATGATAAATATGATTTGAAAAGATAAAGAGATTGATATTGAGTTCATTGTTGGTTATGAAAAAAGCAGTAATAATACTGTAATAATCCATAATTAGACCTCAAAAGCTTTCTTCATAGAAAAAAATCAAAACTAATTTCTCAATCTAAGATATCTGCAAAATAGCACTGGGAAAAACTGAAAATAATCTGTAAATATATGACACCCGTAGGACCTTAAATTCAGTAGTAATCTAAACATTAACAACTCAAACCATATGTAACTCCAGCAGTTAAGTATATCAGCCAGGGAAACTTTTACTTTAATTATCATCAAGTGGTTGTACTGTTTTCCCAGAAAATTATTGATTACAAATTGGCTTCCTGCCTAGTAACAACACATTACAGTTAGGATTGTTCTCCCATGTGAGCACAGCAGAGATGATGAGACCCATCTGCTACTGAATTTCAAGTGACTGCTCATAGAAAACCCAACCCTTTGCTTTTGGGCCTCTTCTTAGTTTGGGAGGATCCACTTTAGAAAGTGAGGCTCCCTAGCATAACTGTCCTCTGAGATGCTTCACCCAGCAGCTGATCAAAATAAATGCAGAGACCCAAAGCCAAACATCAGACCATGCTTGGGAAGCCTTGTGAAGGAGTTGGGGAAGGATTAAGGAACCCAGAAGGGATAGGAACTCTACTAGAAGACTATCAGAGTCAACTAACCTGAACCCTTGGGGTTTCCCAGAGACTGAACCACCAATCAAAGAACAAACAAGTACTAGATCTATCCATATATGTAGCAGATGTGTAGCTCAGTCTTTATGTGTGTCTTCTAACAATTGGAGTAGGACTTACCCTAACCGGGTCTATGGACCCTGTTTCTCTAAGTGGTCTGCTTTCTCTGGCCTCAATGAGAGAGGATGAACCTAGTCCTGCAGTGACTTGAGGTGCTAGAGTTGATTGGAACCATAGGTGGGTGACCTCCCACTTCTCAAAGGAGAAGGGGAGGGAAGGGGAGGAGCCTGACAGGAAGGCTGTGAGGAGAGAAGGGGTTGCTATTGGGATGTAAAGTGAATAATTAAATAAATTAATGGGAAAAAAAGATAAAGTAGAGTTTTGATTACAGACTAAAACAAGAATTCAACCTCAGAAAAAGACAGACAGACAGACAGATAGAGAGGCTCCATGAAAGGCTCACTTTATTTAATTAGGTTCCTTCACCAGATGTTTATTATATAAAAAATATATATAGCAAAACAAAGCCATAAATCTTCCACCTAATGTAAAATTTTCAACTTTCATAGAATATATATATATATATATATATATATATATATATATATATATATTAAACATAGAGACACATGAGTATGAGTATGTTTATAAATGTACAAATGATATCTTGAGCCTGCATATCATAAATTTTATGGCCAATATTTTTCTGAAATTCCAATGCTTTTAATCAATCTATTTGCTCCTCTCAGTATAAGTACTCAAACATTCAAAAATAAAAGGATTTAAGAGGCTAACCAAAATGAAAGTACCCTTAGTCATAGTGAGTGAAAGACCAGAAAGGATTTTCAGACAAGATTCATCAAACTGCTGGTGAGTTACTGGGGCCACACTCTACTGTGTTATCATTAACACATTTGTCCATAACTTGACTGAAACAGAAAAGTAAAAGAAATCAATCTGAATACACAGGGTGAGAATTTGTAGAGTCAAGGTGTGGGTTTAGCAGAGACAGAAGTGAAAATGAGTGTGTGATTTTGGTGACAAGTGGAACCTTGTGGAAACTGAGGACCAGAAGAAAATGATGTGATAACGTTTCTAAGTGGAAGAAAGTTCAGCTCTATAGTATGGCAGAGTTAAAAATGTATATTTTAATATAACTACTCAAGCTTTACAAAGTAAGACAAATGCATATGCTGACTTCCTTTCTCACTTGTTCTATAAGATGCTGCTCTGCCCCTAAGAGTATCCTGTAGAGAGTAAAACTGTTGCTGGATATGACATTATTTGGTCCTTTTGCATAATCAATATTGTAGTTATATTTCTGTATTTGGTTGCCCTTGGCACTGTCTGTTCCTCCTCACTGTCTTTATCCTTTCAATAAGCAACCAGCTCCATCATTCTAAAAATAAGACCACGCTGACACCTGGCATCCAGCAGGCCTTAGAGAACTGTGCAACTGGACATTTTTCATGGACAATATAAATTAAGAAGGCCTACCACCTGGCCTCAGGCAGGCCTTAGAGATCTGTGCTAATTATGGTTGCCAGTAAACAGTGCAAGTGAGAACTTGAACTCTGTTTTGATTTGTTATCTGAACAGATCTTGAGGGCTTATGGGGTAACCTTAGGAGGTCACCCCGTATATTGTTTGCTCTGAGGTAAAAAGATCAAAGATACAAGTGAATCATGTCAGAGAGAATTATGTTCTCTATGCTCTTCAGAAAAAGCTGTAGACAACCACAGTGACCCATTTCAATTAAAAAAAAAAAAAGATCTTGTCTTGCTATTGTTGCTCATTCAGCTTAACTAGATTCCTTATTTAGTCCTGTGACTACTGAAAAATCAGGACTTTGGGTAAGAAAGAGTTCAGAAAAATTCCTTGAATTATCTTCTATTACTTTTTAAAAGGTTTTTCCCTGTCACTGTCTCTCTGCTCTCTGTCTCCATAGTATATCTCTCTCTTCCTCTGAGTGCAGTGTGTGTGTGTGTGTGTGTGTGTGTGTGTGTGTGTGTGTTCATGTACAAAAGTCAGTATGGGCAGTTGCAGGATTTCTGGCTTGTTATGTGGGTGTTAGATTCAAATTCTGGCCCTCTTCATTACCCAGCAAATATTCTTAAACATTGAGATATTTCCCCTTTCTTTATTTTGGATGCCACCATCTTCATTCAGAGTCATGCTCACGTTTTTATTGGCTTGCCAGTATAGCATGAGCATTCTCTGTGATGACATCAACATGCCAGATTACAATTAGTAACAAGTGAACTAATAGGAGTTGCCTAATACATGGAAAGTGTATTCGTTCACATCAGCACTCCCTGACTTCCTTGGCAGAACAAATTTTGAGACAATAGGGAAATCGAGAGCCGTGCAGCAGAGTCAGTGTGGGAATCCTGTTGCCTTGTCTATGAACTTGTATCTCACATGCAAAATACTTTATGAACATTTAGCAGAGATGAGAGCACATTAGAAGGTTTATGAACATTTGGACCTGGGTTTTAATTCTGACTTTCCACTGCTATCTGTATAAGATGAGCCCAATATTCCACTGCTGAAGATCATAAAGCACAAAGAAAATATTCCTTTTTATGGACTCACTTTGACAATATAAACAAAATGCCTACAATATGCATAGTGCATGTAACAGGATAAGCAAGTGGTGTTACTAGGAAGTTTTCTTAATATGAAGTTTTTGCTTTCAACTGTATTAATTGGCCACTTTATACTTACATATTGGGAAAGAGCGTCTAGTGAATGAGCTCTCTAACAAGACAGAGATTTATGACATGATTCTTTACACGGTGC